TAGTAAATTCTGAAAATTACCATGTGCTTATCAAATCATCAGAACTGTTGCTAAGTACAATGATAGCACTAACCAAGGGAAATTACAGGAAAGGGAAAAATTACTGTATTTCCTCCTCAAAAGTAATGAGGGGATGGTATTGAAACAATATGGCCCAAGAAAGCAACTGCACCATTGGTAGGCCTTATTATGGACAGCAACCTAATGATTAGCTTTCCTGATGAACTAATCAAGGCAGGGAAATAAAGAGGCACTGCCCTGAAGGAACTGACCTGAATATTTCCAAACTGAGTTAGGAAGACACCTGTACCAGGGAGAGGCCAGTGCCCTTCTGATCCATCCCCTCATCTATTACAACTAAACCTAGTTAAAGCATAGAAATAATACTGATGCCCCTGTTCTCTTTTCTACAATTCAGTAAAGAGCACCCATCACTATTTTCAAAACAGCGCTCTGTACCCAGGGTTCATTGACATGCAGAATGAATGCTGGTGAAATAATAAGGATAGATCTAAGGTCCATTTAAAAAACATGGAAAAAAGTTTAGCTAGCAATGAATGTATTCAACTTCAGTTTTAAGTATGTCACATATGACCATAAATCTTTAGAGTTCTGCTACTGTTAAAGACAATATTATCGGCCGGCACCGTGGCTCACTAGGCTAATTCTCCACTTGTGGCGCCGGCACCCTGGGTTCTAGTCCCAGTCGGGGCGCCGGATTCTGTCCTGGCTGCTCCTCTTCCAGTCCAGCTCTCTGCTGAGGCCTGAGAAGCCAGTGGAGGATGGCCCAAGTGCTTGGGCCCTGCACCCACATGGGAGACCAGGAGGAAGCACCTGGTTCCTGGCTTTGGATCAGCAGAGTGCGCCAGCCGTAGCGGCCATTTTGGGGGTGAATCAATGGAAAAGGAAGACCTTTATCTCTCTCTCTCTCTCACTGTTTAACTCTGCCTATCAAAAAAAAAAAAGACAATATTATCCAGGAATAGGTTCATTTTAGCTACCTTCTTATGCTGTAAAAATCTACTTATCTTTGTATCAATTTTGTGGCTAGCACTAAGACTTATCTTGGCAGCATGCGTTAAATATACATTAAGCTGAGTTAATTTCTACCATGACATTCCTAATCTCAGTTGTTCATTCTTCCTTCTTATTCCCCAACATCTAGCCAGTTACCAAATTCTAACTCTTCCAGGCCTCTCCCATCAGTCATCTTCTACCCCATCTTTCCTAGTTCAAAAATCTCACTACTATTTGCACTAGCACAACAGCCTCAGCTTGTATTCTCCAACTCTGGTATCTCCCCAACTCCAATCCATCAGTTATTTATCAAAGTACAGAAATTAAAACACCATCCATGGGGCCGGCGCTGTGGCATAGTGGTTAAAGCTGTTGCCTGCAGTGCCAGCATCCCATATGGGTGCCGGTTCCAGTCCTGGTTGCTCCACTTCCCATCCAGCTCCCTGCTATGGCATGGGAAAGCAGTGGAAGATGGCTCAAGCTGAACCCACGTGGGAGACCCGGAAGAAGCTCCTGGCTCCTGGCTTTGGATCAGCGCAGCTCCCGCCATTGCGGCCACTGGGGAGTGAACCAGCAGATGGAAGACCTCTCTCTGCCTCTGCCTCTGCCTCTGCCTCTCCTCTCTGTGTGTGTGACTCTGACTTTCAAATAAATAAATAAATCTTTGAAAAAATAAAACATCATCCATGTCCTCAAAAATCATCAATGGCTACCATTTACAAAATATAGGGCTGGCATTCTGGCACAGTATGTTAAGCTATAGCTTGTGATGCAGGCATCCCATATCAGAGTGCCAATTCAAGTCCTAGCTGCTCCACTTGCACTCCAACTTCCTGCTAATATGACTCGGAAAGCGATGGAACATATCCAAGTACTTGGGCCCCTGCCACCCAAATAGGAGATCAGGATGGAGTTTCTGGAGCCTAGCATCACCCTGGATCAGATCTGGCTATTGTAGCCATTAGAGAAGTGAACAGAGGGAATCAATCTCTCTTTCCCCCTGTCACTTTTCCTTTTAAATAGATAAATAAATAAATCTTTTTTTTTAAATTGAACCCTTGGGGCTAGTGTTGTGGCATAGCAGGTTAAGCTACCACCTGCAGTGCTAGCATCCCATAGGGGCACCAGTTAAGAGTCCTGGCTACTCCACCTTGGATCCAGCTCCCTGCTAATATGCCTGCGAAAGTAGCAGAGGATGGCCCAAGTTTTGGGCCCCTGCATCCATGTAGGAGACCCAGAAGAAGCTCCTGCCTCCTAGCTTTAGCCTGACCCAGCCCTAACCATGAGGCCATTTGTGCAGTCAACCAGCAGATGGAAGATATCTCTCTCTCGCTCGCTCGCTCTTGCTCTCACTCTCTCTTTCTCTCTCTCTCTCTCTCTCTCTATATATATATATACATATACACACACACACATATATATATATGTGTGTGTGTGTCTGTGTGTATGCCCCCCCATAACTCTGCCTGTCGAATAAATAAATCTTTAAAAAAAATTGAATCCTTAAACTGGCTTTAGAAGCCCCTACAATCTTGGCCTAGCCTACTTTAATATTCCCTACGTTATCTCACATTTATACTCATATACCACAGACTTATATCCTAGCAATATCAGATTCCTTGTTCTTCCTAGAACATTTTCATGACTTCGTTTATATTGTCCCCATCCACTTGAAATATGTTCCAGTCATCCTCTGTGAAGACAGTACCAGTCTGTAGTAACCTGTTCAAATTCTACCTCCTTCACAAGGTTTTTATCAGATCCAGCCCTAAACCACCACCACCACTACCACTCCACTGTTTATGATTTTTACTTTTTATAATATCAACTTCCATACTTGTTTCTCTTGCCCACCTGAATGTAAAATGGCAGGGAAGAGGGGAGAGGACAGGACTCAATGTTAAATCTTTCAGCATTTCACATAATAGCACTATGTACTATACTACCTGTACTCAATAAATACTTGATAAATTAAACCAGTTCCTTCCATGACAAGAGTTCAGAATAGGGGGGGAAAAAGTCAAAGGAATAACTCATTAGCCAGTCATAGTAAATGAAATTACTTGTTTCTTCTTAACCCTCAAAGTGTTCCTAAATATAACCTCATATTTCATTCCTGAAAAACTTTTATCTGTGATCACAAATGTGCAAAGTGAGAACTTCACTAACTAGATGAAATTATCAGATTCAGGAAAGAGGTCTTCAGAAAACCTGCTAATAGGGAATGCTAGGACTATGTTCTTGGCTGTTTGAATCTCAGGGTTTCCACATACATGACAATAATTCAGAATTTAGGGGCAAGGAAAGGGGCACAATGATGATTATGAGAGAAGAGAAAAAACTATGGGGTATGGCAATCCACTGTGTACAAAACATCTTTCTAAGCATATTAAACCCAGCACAGCATTTTTTATGTAACTCTTGAAGATGTTTTCTCCCATTTACAGATGAAGAAACTGAGGCTCAGAGAGCTTAGATAATATGCACTGGGTCACAGAGCTAGTATGAGGTAGAGGTGGGATTAGAACTTCGATTTTTCTGCTTCCAAAGTTCACGTTCATTCCTCTACTACTACGGAGTCTCACGAAAATTAATCAAAACTACCATTTTTTCTAATCTGTGATATGTTACCCTGGTTAAATTTTTAAAGTCTGTGGCTTTAATCCCAACTGTTTTATACCACAGTGAACAGTACAATGCTCAAAACTACCTTCCTTAAACAAAAGTAGTATAAAGAAATAATATAAAAGTACCAGAGTTTTAATATATTATGATATGCAAATTGAAAACTCCATAATCAAATCCTCCACAATGAAGCAAGCACTCCCTCACCAAAAGATACACAACTAAGTACACAAACTGAATGTGCAAGGCACTAACTCATGAAAAGTCCACGTTCCCCAAACAGGCTGTTCTTTATGACCCTTGCCCAGGAATGACCAATACTCATCCCATTTCAAGCAACACCTCTTCCCTGACCCTGACAGAATCCAGGCGAGAGCTAATTGTGGCTGCCTGAGGGGTGATGCCCTTTGAAGTGCCTATTCCCAGTAGACCTAATTGAGACAGTCCCATTTAAGATCCCTCACACCAGAGCTTCTTGCTTACCCTATTTCCCTTCTCCCAAGAATTCTCTTCCCAAGAACTAACAAAATTCTTATTTCCCTTTTACAGGGTTATTTTCTACTTCTCACTGGAACCAAGCAAGTTCTTGGTTAAGACCTTGAAACATTTTACCAAAGGATAATTTTACAGTGGTTAGGCTCTTCATCATTATACCTTGCACTGGTCTAAAAATATAACTAACTCTTAGTAAGTTTTTCCTGTGGGAAAACACATGAAGTGTCTCAAACAACCGATGTACACACTTTCTAATCAATCAAAAGTTAGTAACTGCCCCTGCAAACAACACAGGTAAAAGATACCAAAAATGAGTGCAATATAAAAATATATGGTCGTGTCTTAAATCTTTACTCTTACCAGGATTAAACACACGCACACACACACACACAGAGAGAGAGAGAGAGAGAGGAAGAGAGGGAGGGAGGGAGGGACAGAAATCGATGGCATTTTCTTGACATCAAAGTTAATAGATTCTTAGCTACATTTTAAGAATGCCAGAACAATTAGAATAATAAATATACTCTACAATGAAAACACCTTAGCCCTAAAAACTATCATGATTGTGGGACTGAGGATTGTAAAGTTCATACTTAAAGTTAACATTTCTAAGCCAACATCAGCAAACATGTAATTAAAATAAATTCTAAGAAGTAAAATTGTTTCCTTCTTATAAAAAAATCATTAAAAACACATTTAAAAAAACTCTTCCAAGTACTAGGTGGGTCTGTTCAAATGTAGTATTTAATTTTCACCTAGATTATTTTTAGAATATTTTTAATTAAGTTACTTGAAGGGTTAAATGTAACCAATCATAATTGTTTTAGAGAAAGAAGGCATAAATACTATCTTCACCACATTACCTTCACCTTTCGTTTTACTTCATAGGGATTAACAATTTCCATTCGAGTATTTTTCCAAATTGCTGAAGTAGAGAGACCCATTGTTAAATCTCTACAATACCTAAAACATACTGCAAACAATAAAAAAAACCATATGTGGTAATTACAATTTAAAACATACTACATTCAAAGTTAACAAAAATAATAAAATAGTAGGCATGCGAAAGGTTCCCCACCTCCCATCCCATCTTTATATCAAAGCATTTAACTATTTGTATAAGCTAAATGCCTTTGACTATAAGCCAAAAGATTACATACATGAATAAAACAAAATCCTCTCCCCTTGAACAGTCTGCCTAGGAAATTCATGCAAGAAAACACCATGCCCACATTGTGAGAAGAAATGAATTCCTCTTCATTTATCCTGTTCCTTTGGAATTGTTTAGCTGATAAGATATTTAAGTATAGAGGGTTCAATTTTAGGGTACCTCTGAATTTATGTCCAAACATGTCTTGTTACATACTATCTAGCATGTAATCTTAACCCCAGTTTAGCTGAATTTTTTTAAAGGAAGAAAAAAGAATACGGTAATCATACAACAGTCCAAAGTGTATTTTTTAAGATGGAGCAAGTACTCGAAGACAAAGTTGCACCCTTGAGATGTTGAGGATTGCCGGTCTTACCTCAAAATATCCTACTGTGAATCAATTTGGTGTTCACCAACTATTTTTAGGAGGTGTATGGTGGCCTCTACTGGAGTAGTATGTTGGCGATTAAGTTATCAGAAAAGGATCCGACTTTCTATCATAAAAGACACGTTTTT